ATTTAATTATTCTATACTCTTATATTCTAAGGTATATGATTATTATATTTTCGATCCTAAGGACCCTAATTGTGGGGTTCCTTGTCCCACATTGATTTCAAGTGTATAATTTTATTTGAAAATATAAGATTTTATATAATTTTTAATTAATTAATTTTTAAATTACGATGTATTTTATCTCAATTAAAAAAATATTTTAAGGAACATTTTAAAAAAATTCTATGACAGATTTAAAACAAATTGGCACTTGTCCCAGTCCAATCCATTGACCAATAAGCACGGCCATTTATTGTGTTTTCATCACCGCCCCACCGTGCGTTTAGAAACTTGGAAAGTTTGCAACGTGGAGCACGATGGTCCGCAAGTTTGAGGACCAAGTTGTTTTTGCCTTATCTTATTCTTTCTTTTTCTCCTTTTCATTTTCCAACTCTAAGTTTGGAGAGCGAAGTAACGTTTGTATGAGATGAAATGTATTTTTTTTTATCCTTTTTACTCTTTCAATTTTTGTTTATCTATTTATAAAATTAACGTCAATTAATTATGATCATAATTTTATATAATAATTTTATACGACATATAAATCATAATACAAATATTTAAACTTATCACAAAATTTAATATATCCTTTTATATGTAAGTTTGGTATTAATTTTAAATTTTATTTAATAAGTTAATAATAAATTTATCTAAATAAAATTTGACTTTTAATATCATTTAAAAATTAGATACGTAAGATTCAAAATAAGATTTATATTCAACATAAAATTAATTAACTAATAATAAATAAAATATTTTTTTTCTATTTAATTTGTTTTTTTTGGGTAGAAAAAGACAAAATACCATTAACTTAAACACGAGTACTTCTACAATATTTTGCCCCATCTTACTCACAATATCTGCAGCCATGTTTGAGTCACACGTCACACGTGAGATCTTCCCATGGGAGATAAGCTGAAGGAGGTCTCTGCAGTGGAATAAGATAACTGGTAGGGGCACTCGCCTTCTGCACTCTCCGGCCAACACTTTCACTTTTATTGGGCCACGTTACTCTTGTTGGTAAGAAGTTGCACTTCAAAGCCGGTAACAAGCTTGCGTGGCCCAATGAAAAGGGAAGTGTCGCCGGATAGTGCAAGAGGCGAGTGCCTCTAGCACTGCTGGTGAGGTAAAAGGGTATACAGCGGGTGTTTTTTAGCAGGATGCTTTTCCTATACACTTGAGGCACAAATTTCTAAGTCAGCTGATCATATGTAGCATTAAACTGAGAACAAGCATGATGCATCACGCATGAAGTTTGGCAGCACCAACACGCGTGTTGTACAAGATAATTATGTGAGTTGTCATTGGCATGATGACAGAAAGAAGCGAATCACGTGCCATGTTAATTTCACAGGCGGGTAAGGAAATGCACGAACTGTGCCCCGTTGGTTGGTTTTGGAATCATAAAAGGAATAGGATCATTCAATCATGGGGAATATAACCTGCTTTCGGTGAGTGAATTTTTATTTTTAAATTTTCTTCAATTTATAAACAGTGCCTACTCGCTCAGCTAAGAGCCGAGCTAGAGATAGCACCGCTCGGATAACCGATAGCCCTCCTCTCTTTAGAACCTAGAACCATTCTCTTTATTGTTAATCAATAACTAATGTCGATAGCCGGGAAGACAGCAAGATCTCTCAATTTCAAACTCTTACGTAGGGATGGCAATGGGTCTTCACCGAGGCAGGGATCTCTTTTACTTTTCCATCTTCATCAATAACAGGTATTGGGATGGGAATTTTTTATGGAAGATAAAAAATAACTTTCATCTTTATACTCGCAGAGAATAATAGGTTTCTATGAGTATTTAGAATCTTCATAAAATAAAACTCGATACTCATTTTTCATTTAAAAAATTAACTGAAGATATAACGAATTAAGAACTTGAATGTGCCTCAAAATAACAATACAATTACTGTTCGCTGCGAATGTGAGAAAGAAGCTGTGCAGGTATGTAAACAATAAAAATCGCATTCTGACAATCTTGTAAACAATCAAAGGGAAAATGAAATTGGAAATAATAAAGCCAAAAAAATGAGATTTGCTTCACCTTAAAATAAATCATCAAGCACAAATACTCAGATACTCATAAATATTCACAATTCAAGCTCAAGCAGGCTGTAAGTAGTCGACTGAAGGATAGAAACAAAGCTATGGTCATTACCTTTTGAAGGTTGCTGAGAATGATAGGTTGAAGGGAATTGATCGATTGAAAAATAGAAACAAAGCCAATGAGCTGCAACGCAAAGGAAAGGAGATTGGAGTCTGGAGAGGAGGAATCGCATAGTATATTTGCAAATCTCAGAAATTTAAAATAATCTTTCTAATTCTAAGGTTACTAGCAAATTGGATTGGACTTGGGCAATTAAGTTTAAGAAGATTATGGGCTGGACTATATAATTGGGTTTGGAAAAATTGAAAAAAAAAAAAGATTGGTCAATTAATTAGGTTGAGTAAGTAAAAATTAATTGTTAATATATTTAAAAATATATAGAAAATTTTATTTATTTATTTATTTTATATGAATTTTTACGGTTCTCCACAAGACAAAAAAAATTTTTCACGAAGAAAAAAATGCCTCTATCCTCGCATCATGGGGAGAAATATTCTTAGAATCCCAATCCTTGTGACAAGAAAATCCACGAATCTCCGCTAATCGCAGAAGATATTGCCATCCCTACTCCAACGGTTGGTCACACCAAATTTTTTATGTATCAAAAAAATAATAATAATAAATAAATAAATAAATTCCCATTTAGAGGATGAACCGAGACAGCATCTCTGGTTTGAATTAAGTTTTAAAATAAAACATAATCTGAATTTCTATACAAGGATGATGATTCTGCAATAATCTCATTCTTCACTTTTCAATGACAAATGCTTATTTCAAATTTTCAATAGCATTGGGTCCTATTCACTCAAAACAATGAACATTGGGACCTAGGTTCAAATTTCCTTTCGCTTTGCTTCAACACAAACAGCGGAAAAAAAATCATCCAGGGCTTTGATCGATGACCCCTTTTCATCTCCTTCCTCAATCATCGCCGCCTTTATCCGCTCTGCAACCTCCGCCGCCTTCTTCCTCATCTCCGCTCCTTTCCCCTTCTCCCCCATCACCGTTTCTATTACCTCCTTCACCTCCTCCCCTCTGATTTCACTCTGCAGCCCTCTCGTCAGCTCCACACTCACCGCCATTTCCTCCACCAACATCTTCGAATTGTATGCCTGCTCTGCTGCCATGGGCCACCCTATGATCGGCACTCCCTGGCTCAAGCTTTCCGTTACTGAATTCCACCCGCAATGACTCACAAATGCTCCGGTTGATTTGTGTGACAAAATATCCAACTGGGGCGCCCAGTTTTTCACCAACAAACCCTGTTTTTTCTCCCTTGTCCTCTCTTCGAATCCCTCCGGTAGCCATTCTGGTTTAAATTCGCCTCTCAGGTCGAAGCCCAGCGGAGGTCTTATGACCCAGATGAACAGAACACCGCTTTCTTCCAAACCAGAAGCTAACGCTTTCATCTGTGCTTGACTGATTGTGTTTTGTGATCCAAACTATATGTAAAGAACCGAATCAGGTTTCTGCAAATCAAGCCACTTGATACATTTTTCTACAGAGATCCCTGGTTGTTTGCCCGCTCGGTGTTGGTAAAAATACCCAGCCGAAGAAGATGACTTGTTTAACAGAGCCGAAGGAAGCAGAGGACCAATTGGCCAAACAGGGATTTTCATGTATTTTCTCAGCCATTCAAGTGCAATAGGCTCAATCTCTTCAACAGTGTTGCACAAACACCCGAATGACTGCAAAGATTTTGAAATCTGCGGCTGAAAGAATCTTGACCATGAATCGGTTCTGTTCGCCATTCTCAAAAACCGATGCAATTGCGAGATATGGAAACGAACCCTATCGGGGAATCCTGGTAAGGTGAATTCTTCTGATTGTGATTCCCGATGTGGAAGATTCATCCACAGAGATATGTACGCCAGG